TCAAGTGTAAACTAGCGGCTGTGGATTACCATTTTTTTCCACTTGTTTCGGTCTTATTTTGTGTACGGTGTTGCAGTTTGCTATTATTTCTTTACACTCCGTCAAGATTTCAACTAATTGCTAAGTGCAGTTTGTTGCAAGGGTGTTGTTAATTAATGGATTGTTGCTAGCGGAAACCGGGTCAAAACAAAAACTAATTAAAAAGCGTAAATAGATTCAACTAAAAAAAGGAGTTCCAGAAAACTCTGAAAAATTGAAATGAGGTACCGACAGAAATTATATTTACTTCAAAGTTGTTGGCACTTTTGACATCATTGTCTTGACTTGACCAGGTTACTGAACTATTTTCAGATCCAAAAATGTTTTTGAGTATTTGGAAGTCTTGTTTTTTTTTTGTAAGATCATATCAAATTTACAAAAATTGTATCTGTTTTTTTCATAGACAGAAACATTTGATTGTATAAATGATTTACCGTAATACAAACTACGCTAAACTACACAAAATGTAAACTCTTCAAGGGCGTTAGAATTAAAACAAACCAAAATATGACATGTCTCTAAATGTTTAGACGTGAAATCCGCAGAATTTCCTCCTGGTGTTTAATTTTTAAACGAATTTGAAAAAATTTTGAAGTTCTTTTTGTGTTTCTTCATTTAAAATAATCTGAATCTCGGAAGCCCCAAGTGTCTTATTGGTTTTTGAAATAGTCTGAAAAAATCTCGAGAGCCTCTGTTGGTATAATTTTTGAAGAATTAAAAAAAAAATGGAACTCCTGGTGTTTATTTTTCAAAGAATTTGAAAGAATCTTGGGATTCCCTTTGTTTTTCTTTTTAAATATTTTAATCTAGTAATCCCGTGGTGTTTATTTTCGTAAAAACGGAGAGACCATTGGGACCCTTCGTGCTTTACTTTTAAAATATTTAAAAGAAAATTCGGAGGCCCTCAGTATTATATTTACTTTTTACATAATTTAAAAAAATGCCAAGGGCCTCTAAATCTTTTTTGGAAGAATTTGAAAGAATCTTGAGGATCTTTTGCCTTTTTTTTAAATCGAATCTCGGACATATTCGTAAAAATTTGAAGGAGTATTGGGACTCTTGGTGTTTTATAGAAATTCGGAGGTCCCTAGTGTTTTATTTTTGGAAGAATTTGAAAAAATCCTGGGGTCCCTTTGTGTTTTTCTTAAAAAAAGAAATGTGAATCTCGGAATTCAGTGTTTTTTTCGAAAGAAGTTGAAAGAAATTTGGGACTTTTGGTGTTTTATTTTCAAAAGGACCCGGGTGGGTTAGGTAGCATCGCGCTTGCCTGCCACACCTTGGGTCGTGGGTTCGATTCCCGCCCTGCTCTGGGTGTTGTGTATGTCCCCCGTTACCCTGTAATTGGGCCTCCGGCCTGTTGGGTAACGTTAACCAATAAAATAAAAATAAAATAAAAAAAAAATAAAAAAAAAAAACTTGAAAGAATATCGCGGCCCCTTTCTGTTTAGTTTTTTAAGAGAATGTGAGCTTCGGAATGTCGTGATGTTTATTTTTTTAAGAATTTGAAAGAGCATCTGGAGTTTTCGTGTTCTTTTTCTAAAAAAATTCGAAAAAAGTTCGGAGGGCCTGGGTGTTTTATTTTTAAAAGAATTTGAAAGAATCTTGGTATCCCCTTTGTTTTTGTTTTTAAGAATTTTTAATCAAGGAATCTCGTGGTGTTTATTTTCGTAGGAAGGTGAAAGACCATTGGGACCCTTCGCCTTTTACTTTTAAAATATTTTGGAAAAATCTCCGAGGCCCTCATTGTTTTATTTATTTTTCAAATAATTTGAAAAAAATCTCGAAGGTGTTTCATTTTTGGAAGAATTCGAAAAAATTTCGGAGGCCCTTAGTGCTTCATTTAATTTTAAAATGTTCTGAAAAGAATCACAAGGGCTTGGGTGTTTTATTTTTAAAAGAATTTGAAAGAATCTTGGTATCCCCTTTGTTTTTGTTTTAAAAAAATTTTTAAGAATCTTTCGAATTCTTCCCCTTTTTTTTAATTCGAATTCTGCACTCTCACAGTGTATTCGTATTTTGTGTAGTGTTTTATTTATTTTTTAACTAATTTGAAAGAGTCAGGGGACACCCGGTGTTTTATTTTTAAAGGAGAATCTCGAGAACTTCTGGTGTTCCATTTTTGGAAGAGTACGAAAAGTTCATGGGTGTTTCTTTTTAACGAAATTTGAAGACCCGAATCCCGTGGTGCTTATTTTCGTAAGAATTTGAAAGAGCATTTGAAACCATCGGTGTTTTATTTTTGATAGAATTGGAAAAAAATCTCGAAGGCTTTTGATGTTTTATAGTGAAGCAATGTGAAAGAATCGTCGGGCACCTGGTGTTTTATTTTTAAAGAAATTTGAAAGAATTTCCAGGGCTTCGGGTGTTTCATTTTTGGAGGAATTTGAAATAATCTTGGAGAGTCAATTCAGTGCTACTTATTTTCTAAAAAAGTTGAAGGAAATTTGGGAATCTTGGTGTTTTATTTCCAAAAGAATGGAAAGAATCTCGGAGCTCCCTAGTGTTTTATTTTTAAAAGAGAATCTCGAGGACTACTGGTGTTTTATTTTTGGAAGAATTTGAACGGTTCATGGGTTTTTCTTTTTAACCAAATTCGAATATCAGAATCCCGTGGTGTTTTTTTTTTATTATTTTAAAAAATTTCGAAAGCCTGTGATGTTTTATATTGAAACCCCTGCTGGTGTTTTATTTTTAAAGGAATTTGAAAAAATTTATAGAGCTTCTGGTGTTTCAATTTTTGGAAGAATTTGGGCGAATCTTGGGGTCCCCTTGCGTCTGTTTAAAAGAATGTGAATTTTGGAATCCGGTAGTGTTTATTTTGAGAAAAAAATGAAACTATCTTGGGATTCTTGTGTTTTACTTTTTAAAAGAATTTGTATTTTTGTAAGTTCTTTCAGAGCATTGGCACCCCTGGTGCTTTATTTATTTTTCAAATAATTTGGGAAAATGTCTAGAGCCTCTGATGCTCTATTTTCGGACGAATTTGATAAAAATTGCCAGGGTTTCTGGTGTTTATTCATTTTTGGAAGAATTTGAAAGAATCTTGGGAACCATTCGCCTTTTTTTCTTAATTCGAGTCTTGGACTTCCGTAGTGTATATATTGGTAAAAATTTGAAGGAGCATTGAGACTCTTGGTGTTTTATGTTCAAAAGAATTGGAAAGAATTCCTTTAGTCCCTAGTATTCATTTTTGGAAAAATTTGAAAGATCTTGGGATCGTCTTTTTTTTTAAATTTGACTCTTGGAATTAATCCCTTATTGCTTATTTTTGGAAAAACTTTTGGAGCATTGGGACCCCTGGTGTTTTATGTTTAAAAAATTTTGAAAGAAACTCGAAGAATTTGCGGCGGTGTTATGTTAAAAAAAAATGAAAGGACCTTTAGGAACCTCTATTATTATTCTGAAATAATTTAGTTAATCATGGAATTATTATCAGAAAGAAAGAAAGAAAGAAAGACATGTTTTCGTAAAAATAAAAGTGGAAAACTTGCCCATGTTATAGGAAAAATGAGCTAAGGAAATTATAGAACCAGAATTCACAGAAATATCCAAACGTTAATAAATTATTTACCAAAATCTTGGCGTAGGAATTAAAAATTGGTCAAAGACTCATTAACAAATCCAGCAACTATTGCCCGTTTTTTCTAATCCTTTAACATTTATTAAATATCCTGTTTCTGTATCCAAGAGCAAAACTATCGTGGCAAACGCAGTTCCATTAGTACTCCAGAATGTGTTTTTTAAACGAACTATTTACTGTGCCAATAATAATACAACTGTAGGAAGTGTTTTCGTGCCATAATGAACTCTAAGCATTTTATTGTTAATTTTCCGAGTTCGTTTAATAATCCCATTTATAACTTTATTTAATAGGGCGTGTCATATAGTTAATTTTATGTCGTAGACGTTAATGCCCCCGTGGGGACTTGTCGGATTGTTTACTTAACAATTTCTTCTACGAAAACCTGTCATATTTTTCATTTTTTTCTACCTATTTCGTCACAAACGTGAAAAAAACGACAAAACCGATTTGGTTTTGCTACACAATCACAATTTTTTTTCTCAAAAAAATTGAGTTATTAAACATGGCGCAGTCGGTGCGCCGGCCCCAAGGGAGCAAATTCGCTAAAATTCGAAAATTATAATTCGCCTTTCCGCCAATTTCAATATAATATCGTATCCATATTTCATATCCCGTAATTTAATAAAAACTTTGTGATGCGCAAAGCGATTTTAGTGGTTATTGACTGGCGGCAATCCTCGAAAGGAGCTGACCATTTTTAGATCGCATTCGCGTTTTATTTTGTCCACTTGCATCTATAATGCACGCGACCGATTTCAATCGAAAACGCGCCTTCGTGTTTTCACAAGGAGCGAAAACCGGGGCGAAATATTTTGAAACAGTAATAACGTTACCTGGCAATCATAATTACTACCCTGAAACATTTAAACCACATTAACTCGATAGATATGTACACAAATATCCACTCGGTAATGAATTACTTATAATACACGTACGTACAAGCATACATAATAAAAACATTGTTAGTGAACCCGTTAATTATTCAGGAGAACAAATATAATTAAGTATTAATGGGCCTAAATTGTTAATGCAGTAAGAAGGGCATGTGACGTCATTTTACGTGACGTTGGGGCGCAGGAACAAAAAAGGGGTTGCTTTGAAGCTTTTACAGCAACCGGCTAAATTTTTAATACGACTATGAAATTTTTAATTCAATGACTTTTCTTCATAAATTTTATATCAGGACTGGATCGCTATTATTTTAAATTACTATTACTACACTTATCTGGGAAATCGTTTAAGGCGCCACTTCTCGTCAGTTCTTTTAATTAAAATAAAAAAGTGTCGGTCGACACGAGTTTTTATTGCGCGCCTCAGACTTGTCGAAATTAAAAATTTTTTTTGGCTTTGCGTTAATGTTGTTTTTCTTTTCTTACAGGCCAAGTTGCTGGAGTCTTCCCATGCTTGGCTCGGAGCCTCCACGTCTTCTATAGCCGGTAAGTGTCAACAATTTCCCCTCAGTTACTCTCTCCGATACGAAACGTAACATTTATGGCTACCTTTATTATTCAACAGTACGTCTCCACATGCTTTGATTTTCCACGTTTATTATTCACATTTTTTTTATCGGCTTTGATTGTCAATTTCACATGGCATTCCATATTTTCTCCTTATACATTTACTCGCCATCAATAATCCACGTTTAAATTAATGCCGATGTCACATTTGATACGACTACTACTTTATTTAGTGCCGCATTACCTGAAAACTCGTATTTTTATATTAACTACCTACTTATAAGGCAAAACCATCCTCCTCTATGTTTATATTTTATCGAATGCAAAATATTGGACATTAAACCCCATTTCTTGACCTAAAATTAAAATAAACACTAATCATACATCCGCATCGATCCACCACCCTCGCTCAATACTTGCAGTTTCGACCCATCGCGCCACACAAACACACAAACTGCGCCGATTATGCTGTGCCGCGATGACAGGCCACCTGCGATTTACGTTTACTAGTCGCCGTTTGATTATGCAGCTCGCATATGACACGTGACAACTTAATTGCGCTCGAGCACAGCTTCTTTCGGCGCAAATTAGTTGTGTTCGCGAGAAATTCGCAGTCGTGACCCGTTTTGGGAGCGAGACTGTGGGAAAGTCGCAGGGTTGGCGTTGTTTCCGAGGGGTGGGAAAGTTTTTAACACTTCTGGATGTTCTTCCGTGACGGTGAATAAGAAAAAGGGACGGCGGTGTCTGGAACGTTGGCAATTGCGTAAATTGATGAAGTTGGTTTTAATCTGTGCTGGGGGAAAGGGGGGAGGGGCGGGTTTGGGGGTGGTGGGGATTTTTGTTCGCGACCAGGTTTTCTGTACACTTCATGAAAAAATAACAGAAACAAAAAAAATTGAGACGACGAAAACAATAAGAAAAAATTGTCAAGGTAGCCTGTCTGAGACTATTCTAGATCAAAATTTTCGAAATTTTTGATCCCAAAGTCAAATTTTTAAAGTATGTCATAAATGGCCAGATTTCATTTTGATGAATCTAAAAAAATAAAAAAAATCTGGGATATAAAAATGCTGTGATCTCAGACCAAGTTTTTCGAAATTTTCTGTTTCAACCTAGAATTTTTAAAATACATATCCCAAAAATTATCCTATTTCATTTTGGTGATTCCAGAAAATACTTGAAATTGTTGATATGTTGCCTAACGTGACTTCTACAAATCGAAAAAAATATTTTTGGGTAATTTTCGAAAGTGCTCAAAAAGGTCAAAAATTTCGTAAAGGGCAAGTATGGAAATTTTCGAAAAACATGGTCTGTTGAACGACCCACATCCAGATTTTCAAAATTTTCCGTTTCTAACTCAATTTTTTTAAATATCCCAAAAATGGTCATACTTGATTTTGGTAATTTTGGACAAGTAGTTGAAGTTTTCGAAGAAATGTTGCCAAAAATAATTTCTGTAAGTTGAAGTCAACTATAAAATTTCTTTGGGTAATTTTCCAGAGTTCTCGTAAAAAAGTCAAAAATTTTAAAAGGGAAGTATTGAAAAATCGGGCATATGGCGAAATTGTCTAAAAATCCGCAAAAAATGTGGCATTAGATATCGACGTGCTTATTCGAAAAACAGACCAAGATTTTCCAAATTTTTCGGTTTCAAACTCGAATTTTTAAAATATCCCAAAATTACTACTTTCATTGGTGCTTCTGAAAAAGTGGTTGAAATTTTCGCAAAAATGTTGCCTAAAATGACTTTCACAAATCGAAATCAACAAAGAAATGTCTTCGAAAATGCTCGGAAAAAGATCAAAAATTTTATAAAAAATTGTATTGAAATTTTGCACTTTTGCCTAAGTTCCCTGAACACCCACACAAAATTCTGCGATATAAATATCGACGAGCTGATTCGAAACACATAGTTGATGGTCTCCGATCAAGAATTTCGAAATTTTCGGTTTCAGACTAAAATTTTTGAATTATCATAAACTCGCCACACTTCAATTTGATGATTCTGGAAAAGTAGTTGGAGTTTTCAAAGAAATGTTGCCAAAAATAAGTTCTGTTAAATCGAAATCCACCATAAAATTTCTTTGAGTAATTTTCCAGAGTTCTCGGAAAAAAGTCAAAAATTCAAAAATTTAAAGAAGGATTATTGAAAAATCTGGCATTTGGCAAAATTGTCTAAAAATCCACAAAAAAAAATGTATCATATGCCTAGATATTGACGTCCTGATTCGAAAAACATGAACCAAGATTTTCAAAATTTTCGCTTTCAAACTCGAATTTTTAAAATGTCCCAAAATTATCATCTTTCATTGGTGATTCCGAAAAAGTGGTTGAAATTGTCACCAAAATGTTGCCTAAAATGACATACAAATCGAAATCAACAAAGAAATGTCTTCGGATAATTTTCGAAAATGTCAGAAAAAGGTCAAAAATTTCATAAAAAAGTGTATTGGAAAAGTACCCTTTGACAAAGTTGACTAAAAGTTCACAAAAAATTGTGCCATATACTTAAATATCCACGAGCTGATTCGGAAAACATAGATCAAAATTTTCCAAAATTTCGGTTTCAAACTCGATTTTTTAAAATATCCTAAAATATTGCCATCTGTCATTGGTGATTCCGAAAGTGGTTGAAATTTTCACCAAAATGTTGACATACAAATCGAAGTCAACATAGAAATGTCTTTGGATAATTTTCGAAAATGTTCGAAAAAAGGTCAAAAATCTCAAAAAATTGTATTGAAAAATTGCCCTAGAAATTCACAAAAAATTTTGCGATATAAATATCGACCAGCTAGTTTGAAACATATACCCTGTTGACGGTTTCAGATCAAGAATTTCAAAATTTTCGGTTTCAGACTCAGATTTTTAAATTATCCTAAAACTCGCCGTACTTCATTTTGGTGATTCTGGAAAAAGGATTCGAATTTTTAAGGAAACGAATCCGAAAGTAACGTCTGCAAGTCGAAATCAACAAAAAAATCTCTTTCGGTATTTTGGAAAGGTGTTCGAAAAAAGGTCAAAAATTTCAAAAAGAGAAAGTATTTGTAATTTGAGACTTTCGCAAAGTTTGTTGAAAATATAAAAAAAAAATGAGATATAAATATTAACTACATAATTCGGTAAAAGTATAGACAGTCGGTGGTTCCAAACCAATATTTTCGAAATTTGCGGTTAATTTCAAACTCGAATTTTTAAAATATCCCAAAAATTACCGTATTCCTTGATAATTCCGGAAAAGTGGGTGAAAATTTTAAAGAAATGTTATCTTAAATGACTTTTAGAAATCGAAATCAACAAAAACTGTCTTCCGGTAATTTTCGAGTGTTCAAAAAATATCAAAAATTTCATAAGAGTGAAATATTGAAAAGTTGACTTTTTGGAAAATTTGTTTGAAAATTCACAAAAAATTGTGTGCTGTCGATATCATTAAGCTGATTTGAAAAACATAAAATTTCAAAATTTTCGATTCAAAAAAATCTGTTTCGGTAATTTGGAAAGGTGTTCGAAAAAAGTTTGAGCCTTTAACAAAGTCGCTTGAAAATATAAAAAAAATTTTGGGATTAACGACCTAATTTGAAAAATATAGACAGTTGATGGTCTCAAACCAAGATTTTCGAAATTTTCGGTTAATTTCAAACTCGAATTTTTAAAATATCTCCATATTTCTTGGCAATTCCGGAAAAGTGGGTGAAAATTTCAAAGCTTTGTTACCCAAAATGACTTATACAAATCGAAATCAATAAGAAAATGTCTTTGGGTGATTTTCAAAAGTGCTCGGAAAATATCAAAATTTTCATAAGGCTGAAATACTGAAAACTTGACTTTTTGGAAAACTTGTTTGAAATCCACAAAAAATTCTGTGCTGATTTAAAAAATGTAGAATTTCATAATTTTCGTTTAAAATAATCTCTTTCGGTAATTTGGAAAGGTGTTCGAAAAAAGTTCAAAAATTTTATAAGAAGGAAGTAATTAAAATTTGAGCCTTTAACAAAGTCGATTGATACTATAAAAAAGAAATTAAATATAAATGTCAACGACCTAATTAGAAAAATATAGACAGTTGATGGTCCCAAACCAAGATTTTCCAAATTTTCCGTTAATTTCAAACTCGAATTTTTAAAATATCTCAAAAATTACCATATTTCTTGGCAATTCCGGAAAAGTGGGTGACAATTGCAAAGCTTTGTTACCTAAAATGGCTTATACAAATCGAAATCGACAAGAAAATGTCTTTGGGTGATTTTCAAAAGTGCTCGGAAAATATCAAAAATTTCATAAGGCTGAAATACTGAAAAGTTGACTTTTTTGAAAACTTGTTTGAAATCCACAAAAAATTCTGTGCTGATTTAGAAAATATAGAATTTCATAATTTTCGTTTAAAATACTCTCTTTCCGTAATTTGGACAGGTGTTCGAAAAAAGTTCAAAAATTTTATAAGAAGGAAGTCATGAAAATTTGAGCTTTTAACAAAGTCGCTTGATACTATAAAAAAGAAATATATAGACAGTTGATGGTCTCAAACCAAGATTTTTGAAATTTTCCGTTAATTTCAAACTCGAATTTTTAAAATATCTCAAAAATTGCCATATTTAATTTTGGTAATTCCAGAAAAGTAGTTGACAATTTTAAAGAAATGTTACCTAAAATGACTTTTACAAATCGAAATCAACAAAAAAATGTCTTTGGGTAGTTTTCCAAAGTGTTCGAAAAAAAGTCAAAAATTTCGTAAGGAGGGATAGTGAAAATTCGAGCGTTTTACAAAGTTGCCTAAAAATATAAAAAAAATCTGGGATATAAACGACCTAATTCAGAAAACAGCTTGTTGATGGTTCCAGAGCAAGAGTTTCGAAATTTTCGGTTTCAAACTCGAATTTGTAAAATGTCCCAAAAATTACCATATTTTATTAGGTGATTCCGGAAACGTGGTTGAAATTTCCAAAGAAATGTTGCCTAAAAACAAAAAAATATCTTTAGGT